CTTTCGCGCCAGGGTCAAGACCACGTTGAAGGAAATTATTCCGTTGATACGGTACATCCATACCGACCCCGCCCCGGTAATTTCAAGGACTGTTTTGTTTCGGCTTCTAGTGTTGGAGCGACTGACCTCGAGTGACTAACGACTTACGAGCGAGTGACTTACTTGACGCTGGTTCACGCTCGCCTTGCCCTGTATCCCCTTCCGCCCTTCCTACATCCCGCTCTACGACAATTTTCTGGAGGAAAAACTGGAGAACTTTTGGCAAAACTCAAGAAAAGTGCGAGGAAACTGGGAGAAATCAGGGAGATGGTCGGCAGAGCGACGAACGGGGTCGCAGAGAAGAAGACGTTTTTAGGGGTAGGGAGTGATATTTGGCGAAATTCCTTCTTAACGGCAGAGGGCACTGCTTATCCAAGAGAGTTGTGCACCAATAAAAACAGCTTCACATCGGACCAGAACGCGCGCGACACTTGTGACTGTACCACAGAGTCTCTGGCTTGAAGTTTTCAGTTTTTTGTATAAATCTTATTTAAAATTTAATGCTGTTATTGCCATAATTCGTTGAAAATTAATGCCTATTCACTAGGAAATCTCAATATATTTGCTTCGACTTTTTGACGCTCACTACGTTACAACAATTGCTTACAACCAGTAGACTTCAGTGTGCTAAACACGACTAATTACCTTAGATTAACCTCATAATACGCATAGTTGTAGCGACAGTGTGTAAATAGTTTCAGTCTTTACGAACGGCAATGGTAAGATTCGTCTAAAACTCGGCTCCGATCCGCAGATTCATTACCGTAAGTTTAGTGTATCGTCAATATCGCATGTCTGTATTGTGCTATTGTGCGTCGAAATTCCCTTTTGTGAAACGCCTCTTATGACTGAATAGCCGAGCTATTTCTGGCTGGTTATCTAATTTAACCACTTCTACAACTTTCTATCGCTTCTGGGAGCTTTTGGAATTTTTACAGATCCGCTGAAAGCACCCCATTATTTCATAATCGTGGCCTTCAGTCACAAGGATATTTCGATATGAACAGCTGTGGTCTTTAAGTACAAGATGGATTCTCGGTTGAGCAGCCCACCTGTTACGCGGGCGGCTACAGCGCGCGATCATAGAGAGAGAAGAGAGTAATCGATGCACCTCGGCTTCCCTTAGACTAGAGGATATTTATGACCCGCAGTAATGAAAGTGAACTCTGATTGACGACTCAAAATTTCTGAGAAGCCGCGATATGAATTGATGGAGTGCCCTTTGTTGTCCAGACAGCCTTCAAAGCTTCGTTTACAATAATTACAACCCATTATTAGAAGTTTCAGTCAGTGCTGCTGCTTGGCTCGAGACGCTGGTGGATGTGGCCGAAAGAGTGTCGTTGGAATCCGTGAAGCAATGTGTACGTTAGTGAAATGAACACTAAATTTTGTCCCTTTATACCGCTTTATGGGCGGCCAATTACAGAGACAAATCTTCAGTTTCACGTGCTGTTTGAAATTATCCAAAGGGAAGGGGGCGGCGGTTGCCGCTGTCATTGGTGGAAAGGGCTGAGTGAAGGGGGCCAAGCACTCTCTCGTAACCCTTCCACTAGTGACACAGGCAACAACCGCCCGCCTGCAGAGAGGCGTGCCCCCACTTCTTTAAAGACAGCTCCCGCGATAAAAGTCTCATGGATAGCTGCTTTCCAATTATGAAACAGCAGCTGATAAGTAATCTCCCAAAGAAGAAAACAGGCAAGAAGCGTTCTCCAGAACAACATAAACAAAATCGCTCCCTCACAGTTACACCTCCCTGCGGTCTCTGTGCAGCCCCTAGCTCACAAGTCTCTCTATCACATCTCGCAGTAGTTGATATCATCCAGTGCAAAAGAAAGAATACAAAAAGAAAACAACAAAAACGCAGAGGAAAAACTCTGGGAAGGAAAAAGGAATTTATCAACACCCGCGCCGCCCCAACTAAGAACAAGTGAGTGGCCTCCGTCGGAGGACATCTAGCAAGTAAAGGCGGTCCGACTGAGGAGGAGTTAGAACTAGCACTTTGAGCGGCTATAGCAGCCTCCACGCTCACAATAGAGTCGCGAAAGGTGAACAGTCTTCTAGCTTGGAGGCTAGACTACTTGCACAGCAAAGGCGACCACGAGCCACTTTGATCGCGGGGGCTGTCTCTTAGATAGCATCCGAGTTCCTGGCCCTGTAGTTAAGTCACGCCATGGTTCAGAGAGGAACTGAAGAGATGCGAACCTTGGACGAAGGTTTCCATGTTCTAGGGAACAGGCACTCTTGGCCTGAGAACTCTTTATCCGTTGCATCTCCCTCCCTTTGCCCTCAAGAATACTGGTTGATATAATTCGGACTGCGGTGATACTCACAAACTAGCTGATGCAGTTGATAGTCGTACAGTCATCGGAAGGGCGCCAAGAGCGTATGAAAGAGTCCGCCTCCTCGTTTTTACACTGGGTCGTATTTCTCCTTTGAAGCTGACACTACCAATTTTTAGATGGAAGTAGCAGCCGCGCGCTTGTCCTCACAGCCTCCCGCATTTCGCTCCGACTGACGAGCCGGCGATATGAACTGTGTGTCTTAGAGCTGGTTGACTGAATGTTCTGTAGTACTTCCACATAAATTTAATTGAGTCCTGGTGAGACTGCGGCGCATTCGGAGTTCTGGATGATGTCATGGACGAAGTTCGTCAACCATAGTGTCGTCGACATTAACGTATTTCCACCCCTTTATCCTCTGTAGCGCACCAATGATGCAAGCATACCGTCCAACCCTCTCCGCCCATACCATCGACCTTCAGTGTTATTTTATTGAATATTATTTCAACAGTCCTTTTCTTAAAAATTTGATGTAAAATGAGAATTTCGTTTAGATAGTGCCTGTTGTTCAACAACAAGCCGAACCTGCTCAGCGTGTGCAGCGACGAATCATCGCCACTAAGTTGTTGCAAAAACTCGCCGACATATTGCCAGCCAATGAGTGAGTTCATTAATCAGCTGTATTGAAAATGATTGATTGAGCGATTTTTGATCAGTAATCTCGCTCTGCGGTAGGTCGCTCCTAACTTTACAGCTGTAGAACTGCAAAACGTTAGCGTCATCGCGTGAACTTTTCTTGGCTCACGAAATTGAAAGAAGCCAGGGAAAGTTCGACTTTTTCGGGGCGCATTAAGTTTATGGACCCGGGGCGAGTTCCCAGTCGGTATCATGCTAATGGTAAGAGCGCTATAAAGTAACTTTGTGGACCATCAGATGACTTTGTAATATTGAAGCCAACGTCTAGATTAATGCCGGAGCCAAAAAAAATACTTTCAAGAACTTGTTAGTTAACTATCACTGTTCCG